GAGATGATGTTGGATGGGCTGAGGGAGAGATATCATCAAGAGGGCTGTTCCAGGTAACCAGGGATCGTGATCTGTGGAGACGCATGAGCGCCTACACCAGTTGGCAGGGCACATGATGATGATGACTAAGTCGTATGTGTTAGGTCCTGAAATATGCAGATATCGTAGCCTATCTTCAAACTTTAGCAGTCAGCCGCCTGTCTTAGGACGAATGCAAAACAAGAAGAGACTGCTGTTTTAATATAATTAGTTGCATAACCTCAACGGGACCCGGCAAACCGAAACAAAGTATATTCTGGCTATTTGAGTTTTTAACTAGGCATTTGTACGTTCAGTGGTTGGCCATTAACCAGCTAAATAGTCGGCGCGTTTGCCATGAAACTAAACGGTCGTCACACATTTCTGGTTAAAACCATCGCCCGGCGGTTGCAACCAAAGGGACTGCCCCTAATCCGAAAATGGTATATCGGCATTATGAATCTGTGTTTATAACTCTTAAGCTGCAATCGCTGACGTTGTAATAACAATAATAATAATAATGTTAATGATAATAATAATAATATTGTAAAATAATAATGATAATGATAATAATATTGTAATAATAATATTGTAATAATAATAATGATAATAATAATAATATTATTGTAATAATAAAAATGATAATAATAATATTGTAATAATAATAATGGTTAGTTGTGTAGAGATTCTTCTTCTTCTTCTTCTGCTGCTGCTGTTGCTGCTGCTGTTTCTGCCTTTCTAGCCCCCAATGGAGCATAAGCCCTCAACAAATTCCGGCCAAGTCATCCCATCCTTCGCTATTAGAGATTCTTCTTCTTCTTCTGCTGCTGCTGTTGCTGCTGCTGTTTCTGCCTTTCTATCCCCCAATGGAGCATAAGCCCTCAACAAATTCCGGCCAAGTCATCCCATCCTTCGCTATCGAACACAGCTCTCCCCATGTCCTCCCCATCTTTTTAACTTCGCTCTTCAGCCTCGTTTCTGCTATAATGATAATAATAATAATAATAATAATAATAATAATAACAATAACAACAACAGCAACAATAATAATAATGGTATAAATGTTTGCACGCACTAATGTTCAGTTTCTGCGGCAGGCGGGTTGTGATGGTTTTTTCAAAAATTGTTTTCATGATTTCCAAACAGTGGTATGAGAGTCGGGCCGTGAAAGAGATTGTAAACGCGCCAGGTAATATTCGTAAAGACATCCGTGAGGCCATACAAAAGGATGACAGTAGACCCAGTTTAAAATAGGTACCATGAAATATGCTAGGGAAGTAAAGGCGACAGGTGTCGTTTAAACCTTACCACCTATCGGATGTTAACTGGTCTGTACAAATATGTATCGTATGCTGATGCATAGTGCTAAAATAATTCCAGACACGTAATTGACACAGACAGTGCTTTCCGTTTGGTTTCCCACACTTCCAACAGGAGACTGTTGAGAATCGCCGAAGCTTTAACAATAAAAATCAACAACCCGCTCCTTTGTAAGCAGACGGAATTTATCGTAAATTTGAAGTTACCCTGGTGAGTCACGAGATCAGCGAAATATGCCTGGCAATAAATTGTTTAAATAATGTTAAATAGTGTTATAACAAAAAGTAAAGATCCCTTTTCACGCCTTTAGGCGCATCGGGTATATGAGAAGAGCACCAATATTTTTACAGACCAATCGGCACTATGTGAGTAATGTGGTCAGCATTACGCCGGCCGTCTTTACTTCTTTAGGCCATATATCCTGGTACCCATTTTTGTGTGTGGCTGGGTCGACCTGCAACGACCCATACTATGATAAAAATCCACGCAGCCAGCAGTGGGTTTCAATCGCTACATGTCAGAATTGCGAGTCGAACTCTCAACGCCTAAGCCATGGATGCCTCAAATAGAATTATAGTAGTGTTAAATAATAATGTTTAAAAGCGTCCGTTACAGAAATTTACCATTCCCCTTCTAATAGAACTTAGTCATCAATTTGGCAATAGTCCTGGCCACGGTACAACAGAAACACAAGTAGCCAGTGTGGACATAATGAGCCGTCCTGTTATTTTATGTTTCATATTTCTGTAGCCAATTTCCTTGTGTCCGTTACACGTGCCGCGATGGAATGGTCTAGCAATCATTTTATGATTGATTGCAATAACATCCAGGAATCAGCACTCAATCCGACATAATCTATTAGCCAGCGCTTTTATTCCGGGCATCATTTCTGCTAACTACACCGCCCAGATTTGGTCAATGAGGGAAATTGTGGATTCAGGTTATGTTTATATTCGTTAGCTTGATTGGATTTCGTAGCGAGCTAGTGGGTCAGTAAATCGTGAAATAGATGCCTTGTTATATTTTCTTCTGTCCGTGTAGATTGCTAGTTAACACATCGAGGTAATCATTGTTTTAGAAAAAAAGTGTGTTGCAGAAACAATTACTTCTTCTTCTCCTCATTATTATTGTTATTGTTATTAATATTCACTTCTTCTTCTTCTTCTTCTTCTTCTTCTTCTTCTTCTTCTTCTTCTTCTTCTTCTTCTTATTCTTCTTCTTCTTCTTCTTCTTCTTCGCACTCTTATCAGATCGTGTTAAAATGTTGTTCCGTAATTTACGGCTAGGCTGCGATATCTGCTGCTTTCGGCAGACCATATACGATATCAAGTTCTTAATTAGTCGTCCTTTATGACATGCTTGTTAAAGGACAGTGAGTCATTTCCTTGTCTCCCCCCCCCCCCCCCCCCACCCCTTTTCTCCTCCCAAATTGGTGTCTCTGTCCCCTTACAAAGAAAATCTTACAAATTTTTTAGACCCAAGTCTTCTTTAAGTTTCAACTTCGTTAATATGTGTGCTTGAATGGTTAGAACGCAGAGCTCTAATGCGGGAGACCCGGCTTCGAATCCTCTGTAAGGTCGGCAAATTTTTTTTTTAACTGTCGGGGGCAAAAATAAATCCTCACCTGCACAGTCCATGGCGACAGCACTAGCCACGCGGCCTTAAATTCTGAGACTCAAAGACCCCTGCATACAACTCAAAAAGTATCATAATAAAGGCAGTATTTTACAGTTTCACTTTCTCTCTCTCTCTCTCTCTCTCTCTCTCTCTCTCTCTCTCTCTCTCTCTCTCTCTCTCTCTCTCTCTCTCTCTCTCTCTCTCTCTCACACACACACACACACACAGTAGGCTGGATGGCAGATAACTATAATATAAAGTAAAGATGTCTTTTCACGCCTTCAGGCGCATCGTACAAATGGGAAGAGCGTCCCATATTTTTACAGACCTATCGGCACTAGGTGGGTAAAAGTGGTCAGCATTACGCCGGCCATCTTGACTTCCGGAGGACATACATCCTGATACCCATTTTAGGCTGGGTCGACCTGCGACGCCCCATACTTTGATAAAAATTTACGCACTTAGCAGTGGGTTTCGATCCCTGCACGAGTAAATTACGAGTAAATAACTATAATAATATATTTAAAATATTATACAATGTTTAACCAAAAAAACTCCCCCCCCCCCCCCCATTTTAAATTTTTATATATTGTTTTTGGAGCCACTGGCTCCTTTTGCAAATTGTTGTGTTGCCGGAAAGAAGAGGGGGTGGGGGGCGCTTACGTGATCTAGGCTCCAGGTTTCGATGCCTACAGGGCCCATTGATTCGAAAATTGATGTCTTATTCTCGTCAAGGGGTTTAAGAAAGTGGGTGTTGAAGAATGTATCTGTCTGTCAGAGAAGTTGTCTTAAAAGTTGAATGTCATATGGGGAAGTCTGTCGGAGAAGTTGTGTATCTGTTGGACAAGCAGTCTATCTGAATAATTTTCGAAGAAGTTGTATGTCTGTTGGAGAAGTTGACTATCAGTCGGAGAAGACAATTTGGCAGAGAAGTGTATCTGTTGGAGAGTTGTCTGTCTGTTGGAAAATTTGTGTGTCTGTCTGAGAAGTTGTATGTTTGTAGGAGAAGTTGTGTACCTGTTGGAGACGTCTGTATATCGAAGAAGTTGTCTATCTTTCGAAGAAGTTGTTTGTCTGTCGGAGAAGTTGTGAATCTGTTGAAGAAGTTGTCTGTTTATCGCAGTAGTCTATCTTTCGAAGAAGCTGTGTATCTGTCGGAGAAGTTCTCTGTCAGTCGGAGAAGTTGTCTGACTGTCGCAGAAGATGTCTGCCTCTAAAATTTGGAACTATGGATCTTATGTGGTACACGTCGTAGCTAGATCCCTAGGATAAGCTTTTCTGATATTTGTAACTGACGCATTTGTCATGGCATAGATGGCGATACGGTTATGCGCGCGCGTGCGTGCGTGCACGTGCGTGTTGAATGTTTTATTGAGCTTTTATTTGTAATTCTTGCGTTTCTTTTTCAAATTTGAATTTCTTTTTATAAGTTTTATCCATATTTATTTATTTGTCTGTTATTTTCTCCATTGTTTTTCTCTCCCTTTCTCCCCCCTCCCCCCTCCCCCCCCCCCCCCCCCGCTCCTTTTTTCCCCTTTTCTGTGTGTGTGTTATTTTCATTATAATTTTTATAATTTGGAGTGTATTTCTGTATTTTTTTTAATTGCGATATTTTAATGTATATTTATTTTACTCTTGCTGTTTCCATTATTGTCAAAAGTATTTATAATTATTTGTTTCTGTAACTTGTATCCATATGTATTGTTTGTTTGTTGTACGACAATTATAATCTATATTTATGGGTTTTTTTTTTTAAAATAGTTTCTGTGTTATTAACTCAATTTATTCACTGTCTGTTATTTCACTAGTTTTTAATAGTGTTTATTTGCTTGCTTTTACGAAAACTGTAACCCTATTTATGATTTGCTTGATATTTCACCGATTTTCGTGTTTATTATTTTTGTGCATTTGGTTGCCTTTTGTCTTTATATTTATTATTTATGCCTTAGCTCAGTCACGTGTCTATACATTTGATATTTGTTTGTTATCTGACACTGCACGATATTTGTACCTAGGTGATATAAAATTGTCATTTTACATTTCAGCCGTTGATGACCACAGTACCTTCCAGCTCATTCACACCGGACATAACCCCCATAATCCTAGCAGGACACAGGGACAACTACGAAATCATTAAAATCCTCCTGGACCGGGGCTACCGCATCCCCAAACCCCACAACGCCCGCTGCAGCTGCAAAGAATGCATCACGGGCAGTCAAGAAGACTCCCTCAGACATTCCCGCTCTCGGATCAACGCCTACAAAGCCCTCGCCAGCCCCTCCTTAATCTGTCTGTCCAGCAAAGACCCGATCTTGACTTCCTTCGAGCTAAGCTGCGAACTGAAGCAGCTGAGCAAGCTGGAGAACGAGTTTAAGGCAGATTATGAGAAATTGGCAGCCAAGTGCCAAGAGTTCGCTGTTGATTTACTGGAGCAGACCAGGGGATCGAGGGAGCTGGCGATTATACTTAATCATGACTGTTCTGCAGCTGATGATCAAAACTGTGATAAAGTTCGTCTGTCCAGGCTCAAGTTGGCGATCAAGTACAAGCAGAAAAAGGTAATAGGTTTTTTCTTTCTTTTTTTCCCCTCATTGTTTTATTCTGTAATCTGTTTGCTTTGATGAATTAGGTCTCTCTACTAATTTCCCCTAGTCTCTGGGTAGTGAGAACGGACGCCCGTGTGTATTGTTAAGCACGTAAAAAAGATTAATACATTGGCAGTTAGAAATCGAAAAGAGAATCATAAAGACGCTGCCCGGGCAAAATTTAGGGTTACAAATCTACCCGGAATATTTCAGGATCCTCGCCGGTGCTACGGAGCCCGTGCACTGCCCTGAGCTACTTCACACTCAGACTTTGGTTAGAAGTAGAACGGGTCAGTTATGGGTTACTACCCGTGTGCCCTGATGTTGATCCGTTGTTCAAACTTCAAGTCTCTCTACTACGGAAGCGTGTAATGTGTGTGTGTGTTTTTCAGGTTTTTTTTGTGTGTTCGTCTTTAACAAATCGTCTTTTTCCCTTCCCCTGTCACCGCTTCGGGTGTTAAGGGAGATATAAGGTTCTGCTTCTTGCTTTTCTGGTCACCTCTACCATAGACACATCGTGCTGTTGTAGAGTTTCTTTGATGTTATCTTTCCATATTGTTCTTGGTCTACCACGTAATTTCTTCTGTTTTATTTCCCACAATTGTTATGTTAAGCGTTGCAGTCTTATAATTCACTTTACTCTCTCGCAATTCTTTAACATTGCTATAGTCGAATGCCGTTGGATCAATCCGTTTAGATCTCTTTGAATTTTCTATACCGATAATAAATCCACTGCCGGCTTGCTAGGTCTGTCACAGCTTCGCCAGAGCCTCGTAGGCCGGGACGTGACCTAGGACAGCCAGATACAAGTTAGTGGCGTATACTTTACAGGACTCCCAGCAACGCCTAAGCAACAGACGCCGACTTTATCGAAGGGAAAGGAAATACAACTTACAAAGGGAAAGGAAATACAACTTACAAAGGGAAAGGAAATACAACTTACAAAGGGAAAGGAAATACAACTTACAAAGGGAAAGGAAATACAACTTAGAACCGAATGCTCTTCTAGGAAATAGCAGGACATAACAGACGGAGCATTGGCTAAAATGAAGATAAGATATGACACAATCGCTATAGAAATTCATTAAAGATTTGAACATTTATATCAGAAACATTAGGCAGGACACGCCTGCATTTTGAGCAACGTCACGTGGTATGGCATGTACTATAAGCAAAAGAAATAGTTTCCTAAACATGGTGAACAATAAAATCAGAGAATCAAACGAAATCAATTGCCAGGCTCGCTAGCTAAGGTTGTTAAATTAGCTGCGCGCCTACCGGAATCATGGCCGAAGTGTTGCGATATCCATAGTACCGAGCCAAAAGATTTACAACTCATGGTTTTAACAGAAATTTAAAAAAGGGATAACCGCAGCAGTTCAAAGATAAACAGCATTAAAACTCTACCAAGGTATTCATAGTATAAATTTTGAGGGCATGTAGCAACATACAGATTTGTGTCTTGGATTATTTCGCAATAATCAAGAAAGAAAATGTGGGGTTTTGAACTGAAATGCTACGGAGAATTCTCAGAATGCCATGAACCCAGAAGAAAAGCAATACTGACATACTCAAAGATCTGAATATCAGGGAAGATTGGCAAGTAAACAGCATCTTGTCTAGGAAACTGAAATATTATGTGCATACCAATCGCCGCGTCGGATTGGAAAGAATAGTAGCAGATGGAAGAGACTTAAGGGCCGACCCTCACGAAAATGGACACAAGATATAAGTGACACGTTGGATATGGAATTAAAAGAGGCGGGAAATCTGACTATAGACCAGATTTATTTCAGGCAGGCGTGCGATGTGAGAAACATTCTCCTAAGGACATGCTACACGATGATGTTTTCAGATGTTGGCTGAACTCTGGCTAAAAGGCTGTACACATTTATACATTGACCAACGTCAAATTGCAGGAACTGTTTTTAAAAAAAAAAATAACTATTTTTCCCAAACATTGTGCAAAACAAAATCAGGGAATGAAACGAAATCGATGAAGGCGATTAACGAAAATTCTAGTAGTAGCCAAGGCGGAGATTTTTATGACAAAAATTCGATCGATTAGAGGAGATGAAATCCTTGTATATAGGGCTTTAACAGAATACTGAGTGGCCGGAATGAGACGGCTGTGGTACAAGTAGAAGTAACGAACATTTGTTAAGTAAAACGTGGTCCCAACTTTTAGAGGCATAGATAGCGCTAAGGACTTGTGGAAATCTTTTCGAGATTATTTGTAGATTGCAAAGAGGATGGTAAAGAGGGATCCAGTTGTTAGTGGTCTGAATAGGGCTACTGGCTTGTGGAAGTAACGGGCGTTTCCAAATTGTTTGTAGAATGCAACAGGGAAGTAAAAAGTGGTCCAGTTGCTAGTGGTTTGGGCAGGGCTACGGGCTTGTGGAAGTAACGGGCTTTTCCAGATTGTTTGTATATTGCAAGGGGGTACAAAGAGTGGTTCAACTGCTAGTGGTCTGGGCGGGGCTACAGCCTGGTAGAAGTAAGAAATGTTTATAGATACGTCTGTAGATTGACGGTTGGTCCAAATTTTACATGTATGGATAAGACTAGTAAATTAAAGGTAAGGGTTTCTTTATACGCCGGTGGCATATCAGATAAATGAGGCTAGACTCAACATCAAGCCGGTCGCCTGTACTTCCCAGGATTGTACATGATACCCATTTAAGACTGCTTCGACCTGGAGCCAAGGTTTTTTTTAAATAAAGTACGGCTCCAAGCATATTTGAAACCACAACCTTCCGATCCACAGGCGGGCAACTAGCCGCTACATACACCACGGCGCCCCAGATAAGACTAGGCAACTCGTGAAAGTAAAAGACTCTTTGACGACTACAGCGTGGCTCAAGTTTTAGAGCTTTAGATAGGGCTGTGACAGAAATAAGAAGCTGTTGAGGGAAGAGGTAACTAAGAACAAACTGTTTGAAGAATACAGGCTGGTCTAAAATGGTTTGGTAGGTAGGTATCTGTATAGGTATGTAGGTATGTGTATAGGTATGTAGGTAGGTAGGTTTGTTGGTTGGAATGTAGACGTGTAAGCAACTACACTTATCCTTATTAGAGTCTCCGTCGGTCTATCTGATTGTATGTATGTTTGTATATGTGTCTGTGTGCATGCATGAGTGTGTGGGTGTGTAAATTAGTAAGTAATTTGTTGGGGGTATATGAACGAACAAATAACGAACACACTTTTATTTTCAAAGGGTTAGGAATTGGGCACGCAGGCTCCTCTGGCATTCTTTTTTGTTGTTTGCGTTCGCCGGCTGTAAACCCCGTCTGAAAGTCCTGGTTGTTCATCCATTTCTGGACTCTGATTTTGTTCCATGAACTGAGTTTTGCGTGTGCATCCGTTTTACAGATCTTGCTTATTATTAGTATGCAGATTGTTGGTTCCTAGCCTCTGAGGAAGATGCACTCTGACTTTAAAGGAAGCTTCCAGTTAACGACTCTTACGACATGCTTGTTGAGGAGGCAGTGGGTCTGTTCTTGTTTTCCCACATTTGGCACCTGAAACTCACACAGGACTATGTGCTTCCAATCTCCCTCCTTTCATTCATCATTTCATCCATACATCATTTCATGCATGCATCATTTCATTTCATCCCTTCATCATTTCATCCATACATCATTTCATGCATGCATCATTTCATTTCATCCCTTCATCATTTCATCCATACATCTGTTAAACAAGGCTTGTAAAACTCTATAATAGTTGGGAGGTTGGTAGGCTAATAGATAGTTATGCAGGTATAAAGATAAATAGTTAGGTAGATAGTTTTGCAGGTAGATAGTTTGCAGTGTAGGCATTTAGATTGTTAGGTGAGGAATAAATGTCAATAGTTAGGCTAGAAAATCCTTAGGCTGACGGGCATTAGAAAGTTGGGCAGATAGAAACATCCTCCCGTCATTACACACCTTAAAACAGGTGGTCTGAAGAATGGGAGGCCGAAACCTAGGCGTCTCGTTACCTTGATGCTCCACCCCCCCCCCCCATACAATTTTAGAACGTACCCCATCTATTTATACATTTCACATTATTTCATATATATATATATATATATATATATATATATATATATATATATATATATATATATATATATATATATATATATATATATGCCATCCCATCTTCCCCCCCCCCCCCAGCCCCCCCCCCCTCCCCTCCCCTTTTCCAGCTCCAGTAATGTTTTAGAGACTGGTGGGTTTTTGCCTTGTTTAAATTGTGCAATAATGATACATGTTATTGTTACTGTTTCGCTGTTAAGCAATGTTTAAGCTGCCCCTTTCATGTTTTCTTTGTAGCTACGCGCCTGGTCTGGAGCCCAACACAGTTTGCGAAATACTGGGTAAAGTAATCACTGCAGGAAATGCCTGCGACATGTACGCAGATACCACAATCCAACTGCAACGATCCACAAAATGTATCTTCCGCTTTAAAAACAACCTCACCAGACAACAATAATGGCACTTTACTCTTTTCGGTGGCATCAATAATCTAAGTTTACGAGTAACATCTAAATGAAATTTCAGATCACCGAAAGACCCCCTTGAAATCTTGAAACCATAAAGTACATTACCCAGCCGATACAATCTCCTTGGATGATAATTCAACTTGATAGTCCAGTAATCAACTCGTCCGGGCGTTTCTAGCAATGGAGATTCGATACTATCTGGTAAATCAGCGAACACGATTACTCTATAACTATTCAGAGATCCAACATGGCGGTGCCTGTGTTTCCGTAAATAGGATTATGGGGTAGGAATGCAGAGAGAGAGAGAGAGAGAGAGAGAGAGAGAGAGAGAGAGAGAGAGGAGGGGGGGGGGGGGTGCTTCGTGGAGTAATATCTGCTGGACACATAAGAACAGTGTTTTCAACATTATTGATTTGACCCAGCTTCCCCCTTTCCGTGTGAAAAAAAAGCATCACTTTATGCCCCCTTCGCCTTTTCCCACAT